CTGGTTTCGTGGGTGCTCAGAGTGGTCTGGTAGATATCCAGCTCAATTCCGGGGACCAGTTGAAATGGGGTCCCCTACTCCTCCGCCATCTTTCCTTCTCCTCAGTTTAACATATTTTTAATGGCTGCATAGTATTTCATTATATAAGGTATAAGAGATTCTCTTAAAAAGTTTTTTCCATCCATGTCAGTATTTTATGATTAATGGAATATTTATCTGATTTTTCTTCTATTACTTTTATGAGTTAATATATCATTTTCTTCATGTCACTTAGCTAATATTATTAGAGGAATCCCATGACTATCAATCGATATATCTTAGATTCACTTTTTAGTGACAGGGAGAAAATAATGAGGTGGAAGTCCATGGAAGAGGAAAAGAAGTAGAATGTCAAAGCAGTTAAACAGACTGAATTATGTGTTTGGATACCTGCTAACAGGTGCCCCCTGCACCCGCCCCTCCGCCTACCTCCCACCCCACCCCACCAAACATTTGTGGAGTCCAGGACAAGGGCACACAGGAAAGCCCACATATTATATGTCTGAATATTTAAAAGCTTTAAATCAAGCTAACAAACTACATAATATTTTATCCTTTTACATTTGTACATATAGCTGGAAGGCCAGGTTTGAGTTCAGCCCGTCTTGGAAATTTGGGAGTATTGAGCTAGAGCCAGGACTGTCGCCCTGGCCTACACATAGCCTGCTCTCTGCTTCTCTTTCTGCCCTTGGCCCCATCCCTCTGTGCCAGGGCCTTCACACACACGTGCTCACCTGCACACCCCAGCCTGTATGTCCAAGCTCTACCCACCTGTCCTGTAGAGCTCTACCCCGGAGTCATTGGCAAGTATGTCCTGAGGGAGCACATATCTGGGGCAGAGGCTCAGGCCGCCCCTGGAAGCAAGAATTTTGGGGTCTGTGGCATTCTAGTAAGTAGGGGAGAAGCTACAGGCTTCCCTCAAACATTGGTCCTGTAGACTCTTCACTGTGAGGGGAGGGGCACGGCCAGATGAGGACTGTTAGACTTGGGGCCCAGGATAATGTCCTCTGATGCCCAGGTGTGAGTGTGGTATTGCCTGCTGATTTTTCTGCTTTTGAAAAATATTGATTTAAATATATTAATACGTGTGTTGTGTAAAAGTTTAATCAAGTCTACAGAATAGGGGCACCTGGGTGGCTCAGTTGGTTAAGCAGCTGCCTTTGGGCCAGGTCATGATTCCAGGGTCCTGGGATCGAGCCCCACGTCGGGCTCCCTGCTGAATGGGGAGCCTGCTTCTCTCTCTCCCTCTACCTGCTGCTCCCCCTGCTTGTACTCTCTCTCTCTAATAAAAACTAAAAAAAAAATCTTAAAAAATATAAGTCTACCGAATAAACAAGGTCCCTTTTCAACGTTTCCCCAAATCCTTCCCTCCCTTCTCCATTATTAATAGTTTGATGTGTACCCTCCCAGAGTTTTCTGTGTGTGTATATATATATTATATATATATAAACAAATGGATATATGGATATGTATATATAATAAATATATTTACATATACATAAATATAAATAATGCAAACATATATGAAATATATACTCATGTATGTGGTTTTAAAAATATAAAAAGGATCTTACTATATGTATCATTCTGTAACTTTTTTTCCACTTAATATCTTTTCAAGAAGAATGACTCTGTGGTCTTTCCTTTTTTTTTTTTTTTTGTCTTCCTTACTTTAATAAAATAATGTATACTTGTGATAAGAAATTTAAATAGT